TAGAGACAGACAACCAAGCACACTCACATTAACACCTACGGACAATTTAGAATCACCAATTAACCTCAACGTGTTTTTGGACTGTGTGGGAAGAAGCCGGAGAACCTGGAGAGAACCCACGCTGCACGGGGAGAACATGTAAAATCCCAGGTGTCCTCACCGGGACGCAAACTGGTGACGTTCTTGCTACAAGGCAACAGTGCTAACCACCGAGTCACCTTGCAGCCCCATCACCATCATGAAAACACCGAATAAGGGAATATCTTTAGCAAGAATGATGTTCAGTCCCTCCAGTAGAGTCCAGAGACTAGGAGAATCAATGCTATGGAAGTTGTTCTGGCAGCTCTTTGTGGCCCGACATCTTACTAAGACGTTTCATGTTGGTTTTTCTTTTAATATGTTACCTGTTGGTATGTGCCCTCATAAAGTCAAAGCAAAATTTTAACTTCACTAAATGATAAATCACCCACTCGTCCTTCTATTGTCTGATTATGGAAGTCTGCAACCTGCCATAATACTGATAATAGCAGCTACATTGCACTAGAACATTGTTCTGTGTCGTGAAAATGCTTTTAACTGCAGCTGCAGCTGTGTTTGGGGAGCGAGTGGTTTAGCAGCACATGACTCCCTGAGATTATTCAGTTTACCTGCAAATAGTGCTCAGAATCCTAATAACTGCTTTAATGTCTCAACATAATCTGGCTCTACTTTATCTCTGAGATCTTTCTTCCTGCTAATTCCTGCACCAAATCTTAAAAACTGAGGCTTTTAATGTTTTGCTCCACACGAACAAAGAGACATCTTATAATCTTTTCCTAATTTAATGTACATTATAGTCGTATTTTATGGCTCTGTATTTTGTGTGCAGTCATGATGCACCTTGCAGCTCTGCAAAGAGAAAGAAATAATTAAACAATAAAGATAGTCAACTTAGCTTCTCAGTCACGAAAGCAAAGCAGGCTCTCAAAACACAGAAACACCGATATTTCTGGTTGGATTTTTTTTGGAAGGCAAAATCCTGTTTGTGATTCATTGCATGGCTTCAGTAGCTAATTATATTTATGGGTAAACTCTGTTCAGGGTGTTTTACTGTTCTGAGATGGTTGTAATATTCATTGTTGGCCTCCGAATTGAATTTAAATGACTTATCAGCTGTTGAGCGCTGAAAAGATCTGTTTTTAATTCTTCCCATTGTCTCCACACTGGCAGCAGGCCTTTTGGATGACTCCCTGTCCTTCACCACTTGTTTTGTTTTTTAGTTTTGTTTTTTTTTGGCATTATTAGCAGCAGCGTTTGTTTCTGCTACAGTGTGCATCAATGGGATTTCTCTCCTCCTTCGCTGTACAGTATGTGCCAGGAATTCCTCCTGAATCATGCTGCATAATTGATTGTTTTCAGATAAAATTTATCAATTAGAATTCACTAGATCATGATTCCTAGACATGAACTAGAGTGTAAAGTTTAATGCCAGAAGAATATCAAATGGTCCCTTTAAGTTCAACACCAGGTCCATTTTAGAGTAATCCTTCACTTTATTTCTATATCCGTCCTTTGCTATCAGAGAAAAGGTGACGCCACCGTGCCCTCCTTTGTGAACCGCATCCCAAGCACTGACACTCCACCTACGCTGCTAAGAACCAACAAGTTCACATCTGGTTTTCAGAGTATTGTGGAGGCTTACGGGGTGGGGGACTATCGCGAGGTAAGCCCAGGTAAGAGCTCACACTGTGTCCTGCAAATTCCAGTAAAGTCCGATCTTTGATTGCTTTGGAGAACTTTTCATTCCTCGCTGTGCTTCCTCGCTGGCAGCTCCCTACACCATCATCACGTTCCCCTTCCTCTTTGCCGTGATGTTCGGCGACCTCGGCCACGGCACGGTAATGAGTCTCTTCGCCCTGTGGATGGTGCTGACGGAAAAAAAGCAGAAGAAGAAACGTTCCAGTAATGAGGTGGGAATGAGTTGTTACTGTCACCCCTAATGCAGCCAGAGGTGGATTATCGTAAATGAGTTTTTGGCTGATGCTCCTTTCTGCTGCTCTCAGATATGGACGACATTTTTCAACGGGCGCTACATCATCCTGATGATGGGGCTCTTTTCTGTCTACACCGGACTCATTTACAACGACTGCTTCTCCAAGTCTCTCAATATATTCGGCTCTGGCTGGAGCGTCAAAGCTATGTTCACAAACCAGCAGTGGACGTGAGTCATCGGTGCAAACACACACACAAACACACACACAGCGCATTTGGTGTTTTAGTGTTCGTCTAATTTATTCACATCTTTTCCACATGGCAGAAACAAAACACTCCAAACAAACGCTTTGCTCACGTTAGACCCGAACGTCAGCGGCGTTTTCAGCGGACCATACCCGTTTGGCATCGATCCGGTGAGTAACTGCACTCAGACGTTACGGTCGAGCTATAACCGAGTCATTTTCACTGAGATGCTTTTTCAATAATCCATCAGATATGGAACATGGCAGTGAACCGGCTGTCCTTCCTCAACTCTTACAAGATGAAGATGTCGGTTGTCATCGGGGTCATCCACATGAGCTTCGGAGTGGTGCTGAGCGTCTTCAACCACTTGTGAGTGACCTGAGACGTCAGTTTAACTCATTTACCTGCAGCATTGACGTCCATTAGCAGCAGGAATCAACATGGGCACCCGATGAAAGGGAATTTGAGAGCAATACATAGATAGATATATTATTAGTCTGTGTGTTGTGATCGGAATTTATGCCTCTGAACTGCCCAGCAGGCTGCACTGACGAACCACCATTAATGGCTCTAATGAATGTTAATGAACTCTGTTACTTTGTGGGATCTTTTGGCTTTGAGCTGCTGTGAAGTGAAAAACATGCAGCTGATGATATAGTAGAGCCTCGCCCGTCATAGTTAAAAGACACGGCTGGTTAATGACATTAAAAGACCAAAACCAGTAATGAAAGCTTTTTACTAACACGTGTTTTCTATCTGGTATTAAAAACTCACAAATGTGCCACACTTCTTCTTCCTCCAGCTATGAACCTGAGCACTGTCGATCATTTATATTCGATCACATTCACAGTCCTGCTGCCATATAATTCGTCAATGCCTCGAATCTGCAGCGGAAAACGTTCCCCAACAAAAACAGTTGGTTCCCGTTTTAAGAGGCATTTGCAAAAAAACACAACGTGCACTTTCAGGAAATTATTAAGCCTTTTAAGGATCCATTTATGTCTTTAGTAGGAACCAGTAGAGAGAAAAATCAGATCATGTGGGCAACATAAAACGCACTGAGACACGGACCAACACATTATCGGTTTTAATCTTTTGAGTATAACAACAATACAGATTATCAACAGCGTTTGTTTTCCCAGCAGCTGTCAAACATGCATTGCAATGTAATCAGAGACCACAGCTCATTTCTGTATCTTTGTCCAGTTGGTACACTTTACATTGATTCCAGTGCATTGGTGTTGTACAATTTTACAACATTAATGACTTCTTAGTTTGTGCAGAATGTGAACAGTTGAAATTAAAAGTGTTGTGATCGTCTCAAATGGTTGAAAATGTCATTTTGTATGAATTGAGTGACACAATCTATTATTCATCCTCCACCCTATCAGCAGAAAGCATTGCAAAAATGAAGTAGGTTTAGTAGAAGCCAAAAAAAATGATTTCCTTGAAACTCATGGTCCTTGAAAAACCCTCTCTAGGGCGTGGAAGAAAGAGGCACAGGTTTACAGCCAAAGACCTGCAGGAGAAAGTGATGGAATTGTAAATAAAAGTATCAGTGCAGACTAAAACAAGAACTACTTCAGGTTGTTTTAAACCGAAAAAGCTCATTAAAGTTGACTTAAATATGCAAGAAAATGTGGATCAGGCTGTAGAGTTTTGTTCATGTGTTTGATGGAGTGGTGAGACTAAATAGGATCTAAAGGGGGAGGCCTGTACGACCACATCATCCCATCAGACGTGTCGAAGTTCAACATCATGACAGCGATCCAAAGCATGTGTCCAAGCCACGTAAATCTTTGGTCAGGGATAATTCCTGGAATATCCTCAGTTTCTGGATTTTGCTCCCATTAAAAATCATCTTTACGTGGATTTAAATAAGTAGCAGCAGCTCAGAGATCAAAGAATATTAACAAGTTGTGCTACAATAACAAATCACCCACCAGTGATGATGCAATATTGGCAATACGGCACCATGATAGTCTTGTCTCTGTGCCAATATTCCATTCAAAGGCTTCTTCTCATGTCTTATCTCTCAACAATTCCCCATTGTTTGTATGAGCACTAAAGGATCCAGACATTATATCTCTACCTTATCATCATCTTTATTTCCATTTTCCCTTCAGGCACTTCCGACAGAAATTCAACGTCTATCTGCTGTTTCTTCCCGAGCTGCTCTTCCTGCTTTGTCTCTTCGGCTACCTGGTCTTCATGATTTTCTACAAGTGGTTGGCATTCGGAGCACGAGACTCCAGCCAGGCTCCCAGCATCCTCATCCACTTCATCAACATGTTTGTCATGCAGGGGAAGGACATCACTCCTCTCTACCCGGGACAGGTACGTGCCGACGACCGGGGATCGCATCTGCTAATCAGGCGTGTTCTGAACCTCGCAGAAGCATGAAATTAATCGTGTTACCTTGCCGCCACAGATGGGGCTGCAGATTTTCCTCGTCGTGATAGCTCTGCTGTCGGTTCCCGTTCTGCTGTTAGGAAAACCTCTGTACTTGTATTGGCTGTACCGTGGAGGCAAAGGCCTGCGCAGACGTAGAGTAAGTCGAGTCCAGGCTCCTGCAAGTGTCTGATTCTGCTTCACTTTGTCAGGACTGAAAATAATTTTGTTGCCTCACCTCAGGGTTATGAGAGGGTGAGGCGCGTAAGCGAGGATGACAACTCCACAGCTCCGTCCTATGAGGATGACGAGGAGGAAGGACTTGATGAGGTGACAAACAGAGAAGCTCTTCCCAAAGAGGTGAGAGAACAGTGACCTCCAAAGCTGTGTGCATGTCGCCAAACTGTAAACGGTATTTGTGACATTTCGAAGTGTGCGCAACATGTGATGTGCTGCTTTAGGAAATAGAAAGTAGGGCAACAGAAAAGAGTCGACTGTGGAGCTGAATCAGTGTCATGTGAGCAGCATGATTACAGAAACACTGCTTTGCTTTATTAAAACAGCCCGTCCAGATTATCCTAATTTCATTTTCAGCAGTACGAATTAAGTGTGATGTGTTTTTTTTGGAACTGTTTTGCAGTTTGACTTTGCGGATGTGCTCCTGCACCAGGCCATTCACACCATAGAGTACTGCCTGGGCTGCATTTCCAACACTGCGTCCTACCTGCGTCTCTGGGCGCTCAGCTTGGCTCACGCCCGTAAGTTCAGTGCGAGCGATCCCTGAGCTGCCTGCACCTCTTTGTCCCTGCTGACTTTGCACCACGTTGCATCTGACACACTTTCATCTCTGTGGTGGTTTCAGAGCTCTCGGAGGTGCTGTGGGCCATGGTGATGCGCCTGGGTCTCAGGGTCACCACAAAAGTCGGAGTCGTGTTTTTGGTCCCCGTGTTCGGCCTCTTCGCCACGCTCACCGTCTCCATCCTGCTAGTCATGGAGGGCCTGTCGGCGTTCCTGCACGCTCTCCGACTGCACTGGTGGGTCACTGGTCCAACTGGTCCAACTGGTCCAGTCCTTCATAGTCAGTAATACTGTGATGTAAAGCTCCGTATTGTCTAAAACTGCAGCAATCACAATGTCATGGAGCTCAACCTTCTACTATGCAAAGCAGCATTAAACTTCTGATATATGATAATCTGGGGCTGCAAGGTGG